GGAGAAAGTCTCCAAGGATACCAGTAACATCTTTTTAATATCTGTGGGTTTCTCTCTCTCTTTTTCTTTTATTTTTAACCTGAAGAAAACTGGTCTTGAGCTCAGAACTGCTGCAGGCCACAGTATCCAGCTAGAATATGAGAATATTATTTTGTTTCCATTTTATTCATTTTGGTCAGTTACTTTTTATTTGTGGTAAGGGATTCTGACTTCATGTATGTTTGGATGTTGCTTATGGGAGCGAAAACTGGTCCTGGAGAAACTCTGGAGATGCATTTGGCACATTCTGATAAAGTGATTGTCTGGGACCAGGGTGGTGATGGGGGCCTGACTGCAAAGAGGCACAAGGACACTCGTGGCTGAGATGGAAATGTTGTGTCTTGGTTGAAGTGGTGGATACGTGATGTGCATATTTGTCCAAATATATTGCACTGTACACTTTAAATGGATGTATTTTATTGTATATAAATTATACCTCAATAAAATTAACATAAAAACACATGCATTTACATTTAAGTCAGCCCCTCAAGGCTGACTTAAGAAGTTACATATTGGGTTGTCAGAAAAATCATGACGCATTTTTGCAATGAAAAACATAGATAAAATACATCATGACTTTTCCAACAACCCTATACATGAGGTATATGTACTTGAGATATTAAGTACATATGCTGTGTGGGTGTGGCCAAAGTCATGAGGTTGTCCACCACAGAGTAAAGTTTAGGAAAATCAGAGTCAATGATTAAGTGGATAGATAGGAGAATGAATGAATGAATGAATGAATGAATGAGTAAATGACGAAGTGAATGAATATCTACCCCATCTATGGTAATGAGTCCATTCTACATGGCCCCAACCTATCAGGTGGTTCCGACTAGGGTTGTCCTATCTCAGCTTGCATAACTCCTGTGATGGGGTGCTGCCTACCTCATAACATAGTCTTTTCTATTGTCTGATCATTAGGACTGTGTGAAAGACCTCTCCTTGTATTAAGCTGATCTTTCTGGTGACCCCCTGCCCTCCGTAGCTCCACAGACACATCTGCTTCCTTACCTGGAGACAGCCCAAATGCCACCTCTCCCAGTCTGCTCTTCTGTGGGCTCTTCATCCCAGGTGTTTAGCTGCTCTGCCCACGAGGGTCTGCTTGCACAGCGCTTATGTCATGGTGGGGCAGCAGGACAAAGAACAAGTATACAGGCAAATAAACAGAACAATTACAAGGGATAAAGGAAAAACACAGAATGAGAATAATGGGGAGAGACCAGGGGAGGGACTAGGAAGCAGAAGCCTAAGGAGTTGACATTGATCTGAGTCCTGAAGGATGTGAAGGAGCCAAAAGAATCAGAGAAAGGGCATTCCAGGCAGAGACAAGAGCAAGTGCAAAGGCCCTGAGGTCAGGAAGTATTTGGGAACTGTGAGGCAGCCAGCCTGGCTGGAGTGGGATGAGCTGGAGAAGAGCAGGTCATTCAGGGCACTGATGGTGAGGAGCCTGGAATTGTTTGCTAAATTTGATCTTCAAACACTTTTACGCAAGGGGTGATATGATATGACTTAAATTGTAGTGGACACTCAGTAAATACTTACTGAATTCAAATGAACTGAAGGCCCTTCTCGTTCCAATAGTTTGCCACTTCCAAAATAAAAACGAGATGCCTTCATTTATGTGCCTGACTGGGTTTGAATCTTGGCTCTGCTTCATCCCTGCTGCGTGACTGTGGGCAAGGGACTTGACCTCACTGTGCCTCAGTTTCCTCATCTGCAAAATGGGGATGATAACTTCATGGGGTTGTTGTAAGGATCAAATAACTTTATATTTGGAAAGCATTTAAATAGGATCATAGGTGCTTTCTCTGTGTTAAATAAAATGAAAAAGGGTAAGGACACAGAATGTGATCCTGACTCCTGCAAGGAGAGAGCCCTGGGTCAGAGGGGGTGGGTTTCTCAAACACGTGCTACAAAGAGAGAGCCCCCTCAGCCAGATCTGAAGGAAGTTAGGAACAGTGTTGTTTACATCGTTTATATTGACAGCTACATTTATTTATGTCACATGATACTGATTTTCCATTTAGGCTGGCTATGTCAAGTTTCCTTAAATTTTTTTTTTTTAATTTAAGTAGAACAAAAGCAGATAGACTTAACAATTCAAAAACAATGGTCCCCTAAGGTCATACCAAGTCTTCCTGTCTCAAATTATGAAGGCGTCTTGTGATGGGATTTTAAGAAAACTTTTTCTAAGCTCACTTCCTCATTGTGCTCTTGGGGAACTGGGGCCCTACTATGGAGGTTCTGGAAAGGGCTGGTGGATTCCCAAATCTGGGGGTCATTGGGGTCCTCCTTCTCTTTATTTCTCAGATCCAGTTCCATCCACTGGAAAATTCTGGAGCTCCATCTTCAAATTACATCTAGAGTCTCATCACTTCTCTCCACCCTGGTCCCATCCATCAACCATCACCTGGGGTCCTGGTGACAGCAGCAGTCTTCCCATTCACCCCTCCCCATCCCTCTCCACTCAGCAGCCTCACATGGCTCCCAGGTCACTTAGAGGAAAAGCCAAAGTCCTCAGTACCTACGTAGCCCCTCCCTAGCCTGAAGGTCCACCTCTCCTGCCTCATCACCTGACCTGTAAGCCTTGTCCCATCCAAGCCAGGTGTGCCTGTGCAAGCCAGGGACCTACTCCCAGCTCCTATGTCCTCATCTGGAAAGAGGTAAGACTGATGACAGTGACCAGCCCTTGGGCAGTCACTATGCTTGTCTCTATTTTACAGACAAGGAAACAGGCTCAGAGAGGTGGATTTATCTCTGGGACAGCTGGAGCCACAGTTTTCCTTCTCTGTAATGTGAAGACAATAACTCCCTCCTAAGGTTGTTGTGAGGACTAAATTAGTTAAATATAGCCTTGAAGCACTGAGGAGTGTCTGACACCTAGTAGGTGCTCAGGAAATGTTGGTTACTATTACTGTTCTGAGATGAAAAGTGAACTTGCTTACCCAGGTCCTGCAGCCAGTAGGTGGCAAAGCCAAGATTTAAACCCAGGTCTGTCTTAATCTAAAGTGACTCCCCCTCACTTCCATGAAATAATGAAAATAACAGTAATGACAACAACAACGACAACAGTAACCGTAACAACACCACCACCAATAATAGTATTTTCCACTCCATATGGTAGCACTCAGGGTTAGCATAAGGTTATCAGGTGGCAGCACCTGCCTTGTGACCACGGCCAGGACTAAGGACACAGATTCCTCCTGCGCTCTGGCTTCCTCCGCAGGGACATGTTGGCGGCCAGCACAACCTCTGGCTGGGGGCATCCCCCAATTCCGCTGCCTGGGGAGCCAAGCGTGGGACCCTGGGAGGCCCGGGGAGCCCCCCGGGGGAGGCAAGCCTGACTCTGGGCTCTGGAAGGAGCTGTGCGGCCTGGAAGACATTACACGGCTGTCGGCCGGGGGGGCGTCGCTCGGAGTTCCGGAGGGGGTCCCGGCGGCGGACGCGCCGGGTGAGGGGACGGCCGCCACAAAGCGCGCTTTGTTCTGCGCTCCCCCCGGGAGCTGGAACCAATGGATTGGCGGCAGCTGAGGTCATCTGTCAGGCAGCGCCGGGGGTCAGGCCCAGGGAAGGGGCCGCGAGGGCGGGGGCGGATGGGCCCTCGGGGGTCGGTGTGTGCGGGCCCATTAACCAGGCTGCTCTTTTTGCCAGGCGCTCAGCGGCAGGTCACTGGTACGCTAGGGGCCTTAGTTGACCCATCTGCCCAATCGGGAAGATTATTCCTGCTCTGTCCGCCTCTCCGGACTACTGTGTCAAGGATGGAAGTGATGGTGGTAGTGGTGGTGGTGGTGATGATGATGATAGTGATAATGACAGCTTTTCTGTAATGAGCACTCTACCTTTCTGCTGTATGGAAGTGCTACAGCCAAGATTCAAACCTCAAAGGCTGGGTCTGACCAAGGGAGCAAATGCGGTTTGTAACACACAGTGCATATGTATGGGAGGCAGGCCCGGATGCCTCGCAGCCTCCTTCCGGCCCAGGGGAGTAAAAAACTCTTCCTGGTTCTCTGCTTTGACCCTGGATGCCAGACTTAGTTTGCTTTTTTGCCAGGGCTGACAGGTGGAGCTGTCAAGACCTGAGTCCAGGGACCTCTTAGAGACTATCCTCAGGGGGCCCCCCTGGTCCAACGTAGAGCAGGTCTAGAACCCCCTCCCCTTGCCCCCCAGATAGGTGTTTTTTCTGACTGGAGACAGATTAGAGTCTGAACACTTTCATCTACCCCCATAAAACTAGGTCCCACTTGGGCCGGCCAGAGTGGCTCAGTTGGTTAAGAGCTCACTCAAGAGTGTGAGCTCTGAGCAACAGGGTTGCAGGTTGGATTCCCAGCTGGAGATGAGCTGCCGCTGAGCTGCCAACAGGTGGCAGGATGACTCAGCTAAAAAAACAAACAAACCAAAAACTAGATCCCATTTATTCAATCAGTCACACCCTCATTAGTGTGGGCCTCAGCATTCTCACTCATAACACAGAGGATTAGGCTTCTAAACACTCAGTGCAGGGTCCTCTGGAGTGTGAGACCATCAAGTCCAGGCAGCCCCAGAAATTGCCCATAATATTTGTGTGTTTCTGGAGAAAGGGATCATGGCTTTCTTGGGATTCTCAACCATGTTCATGACCCAGAAAAAGGTTAGAAAGAAGCACTGGTTGGAGTGTAAGGAAGGTAAGCAACTCCCAAAGTCTGCCGGAGGGAGAGGCACTTGGAACAGCCACTCTGGAAAGCAATTTGCCAGGACCTTAGAAGCTGGAAACTGAGCTATATATTGGCCAGGCTGTCCACTCCTAGGTATACAGTTGAGAGAGCACAGAGAGTGATAGGTGAAGGTGTAGCACAGAGAGTGACAGCAGCAAAATATTTACCTGTAAATCCCCAAATGCCCATTAACAAAATGGCTAATACATGGTTATAGTCAGACCCCAGAACACCACGCAGCAATGAAAAGAACAAGGTAGACCTATATGGAATTTGCTCATTCAACAGCTATTTATTGAACACTTACTATGTACCACACACTGTTTTTGGCACTGGGCCTGCAGTGATCAACAAGACAGATCAAGTCCTGTCTCAAGAACTTACATTCTAGTGGGTGAAACAGTCATAAACAGACACAGCAGATAATATCAGGGAGTGTGATAAATACCACGAAGAAAATCAAACTGAGTAAAGTGACAGGATGGGAGAGGGAGATGTTTTAGATAGTATGGACAGGGGACAGCCCTCTGAGGAAGTGACTAGAATGAGGGAGACTTTGGGAGAAAAGAGCAGGAGCTAATGAGGTAGATGACTAGGGCACATTGCTAGGGAATAAATGCAACCTGCAAAATAATGTAAGAAAGAAAAGCACTCTGTACTTACACACATATACACACACGGCACAGCTGAAAGAAGTTCTGGAAGGGTATATGCCAAACTCATAAAGGTAATTGTCCCAATTAGGGAGGACAAAGGGACAAACGGACAAAGACTCATGGTGGGCTTCAGCTTGCCGCTCATATTTCAATTTTAAAATATTTAATTACTTAGCATTTTAATATCTTAATGTTTTAAAGTTGAATTTCACATATAACTTGTGAAACTGAAACAATTGTTTAAATCTACCATGGTGAAGTGTGTCAGTTCCAGGGCAGTGAGGGGGCTAAGGAGTCCCTCCAACACTGCCTTTCATTGGACCCAAGTTCCTGGGGACAGTGGAGGGGAGTCACAATTGGATCAGGGGAGCCCAGAAAAGACATGTGGCTCAGCCTGGAGGATCAGGAAGCTTGGAGGAGGTGCCACCTTTGCTGAGCCTGACATCTTCTGGCCCCGTGTTCCCAATGTAGACTAGGAGACAGGCCTGAGAAGCTGTGATGTGTACAAGGCCACAGAGCGAGAGAAGTCAGAATAAGTAGAACCTGAAACTCCCAACTCCCAGCTAGGTCTCCTTCTTATACCTGGACTGCCTCCTTCTCTGGGCAACTGATGGGCCCAGCTCAAAATCCAGGCCCCTCCATCTACATCCTTCCCATAGCTCTGCGGGTGAGAGGTCCAGCCCTGCTCCAGCAGACCAGAAAGCAGCGCCACCTGCTGGCACAAGAGGGAAGCGCAGCTCTCCCCTTCCACTGAGCAACCAGGTTTCAGCCTTCAAAACTCAGCTCTTCCTTAAGAATGACTAACCCTTCCCACTTCAAGGCTGTTCTACACCCCCAACCCAGTGCCTAGCAGCGCCCCTAGCATTGCCTGCTTGAGTCTTATCTGCAAGAAGAAAAAGCCCTTTCACGAAGGAGCAACCATTCAGTCACTCTAGCCAATGGGTACAGGAGACGATTACTCATGTAAGATAGTGGCGCCTCATGGCAGCACAGACAAATCATGTCCTTAGCTTCCTGAACCTTGGTACAAACTTTAGGGATAGACCGTTCATTTGACAGCTTGGAAAAGTACCCAGGGAAGGGCTTATCCAATGTCACAGTGGAATGAGTGTACAAGCTGGCCCTAGAACACAGGTATTCTGGGAGCCAGCCCAATGGGGGTGGAGGGGGTGTCACCATATTTGAAAATAATTGACATGACCTAGATCAGTGCTTCTCAGCTTGTGGTCCCTGAACAGCAGCAATAGCACCATCACCTGGGAATGTGTTAGAAAAGCAAATTCTCAGGCCGACCCCAGATACACTGAATAAGAAACTCTGGGGGTGGGGCCCAGCCATCTGTGTTTTAGCAAACTAGTTTGAGAACCTGAACCACTGGCCCGATGCCAATTACATCCCCCCCGGCTTTTTATTTATTTATTTTTTTACTAAATAAACTTTTATTTGGGAATGATTTTCAATTTACAGAAAAGTTGCCAAAATAAGACAGAGAACCCACATACTTGGCACCCAGACTATCCCAACGTCAACATCTTACACCTTACATGGTACATTTGTCAAAATTAGTCAGATTTTTTTCCACTAAAGTCCTTTCTTTCTTCCAAGATCCAATCCAGGAAATCACATTGCATGTAGGACTACATTCCTTTTAAATCCTATTGGTTACCTCAGTCATTTTTCTCTGGGACAGACAATGGGTGGGAGAGCTGTTGTCATCATTACTGACCTGGGGAAACTGAGGCTTGAAGACACCAACTGACCAAGGTCCCTTAGCAGGGCAGGGAGAGTAAGGCCTACCTACCTCACTCTGCACCTTTCCTCTACCTCTTCTTCCCTTCCCCCAAGGACTCTTGGTTTTCAGAGGCCTCTTTGGAATGTCTCACCTGGCCTACCCCAGCCCACCAGTGCAGATAATGAGGGGTGCCCCTACTAGAGTGGGACCAGCCCTGGGAGATCCATCTCTCGCCCTATTACCTCTTCCCCTAGATTTGAGGGCCAGGACAATGTCTTAGTGACTTTAGCCTGGGCAGAGTGAGGCCCTGTGTGTGTGTGTGTGTGAGAGAGAGCGAGAGAGAGCGAGAGAGAGAGAGAGAGAGAAACTGTTATTTGCCTATGCAAATCATTTGTGACAGATGAAAAATGCCACAAATTATTTTTAGTTTTTCTAAGGTGAATAGTCTGTTTCTCCACCCCTTGAATTGGGCCAGCCTTATGATTTGCTCTGACAAAAAGAACTTAGCAGAATGATGTTGTACCAATTCTGGGCCTAGAACTCAAGAAGGCTTGTAGCTTCTCATTCTCTTGGAATCCTGAGTCCCTCAAGTGATTAAGCCTAACTAACCTGCTGAAGAGGCCACATGGAAGAGAACCAAGTCACCCAGCCAACAGCCCACCAACTGCCAGACAAATGAGTTAGACCATCCTAGACCATACAACCCCATCGGAGGTGACAACTGATTGCATGCAGTCCCAGAAGTGACCCTGGGCAACATCAACAGAACTGTCCAGATGAGCCTGGCCTGAACTGCCAAACCACAGAACTGTGGGCAAATAAATGACTTGTTTTTAGTTGCTAAGTTTGGGGATGATTTGCTAAACAGCAAAGGCTAACTATACACAACTCCTCATTTTCCTCTTGTTAATGGGATTCCGTTTTATCTCAAGAGGCCAGTCCTAGGAGATGGGCTATGACTGGTCTACTCACTTGTGACAATTCTGTTCCCTGCTGTCTTAGCTTTCTTTGCAGCCAGGGTTGGCAATGATAGCTGGTATGGGCCAAGGAGACCTAAATGGAAATATGCAGGGAGAGTGAGCAGGAAACATGCCTCTGAAAAAGGTTTGACGTTATGATAGATGTTGACTGGTCCAGCTGGCTGACCCTTTCTCCTCCCCAACTCCTTTCTTCTTTAAGCACAGACATGATTCATGGTGGTACAGCAGCCAACCTGTGACCAAGAAGTAACAAGCAATGAGAGAAAGACTAAAAGGATCACAGAGAAGTGTGCCCTACCTTTACTGAATTGTTAAACTAATACCATTAGCCACCTATCTCCAGAATTGATGCTATGTGGAAAAACAAACTTCTCGTTGTTTAAGCCACTGTAACCTAGGTTTTCCTTTACTTAGAGCTAAATGTATTCCACACAACAGGCTATATAAAGACAAAAATGCAGAAGGATCCTTGTTCTTGGGAATCTGGAGCCAGAAGCACACGGCTCTCCAAATCCATTTCCTTTCTCATTTCATCTTCTTAATAATCCTTTGAGAGCAAAGACACGACCCATTTTCATAGCAGTGGGAACTGGGCCTCCTGCACCGTGCAGTAGTGAGTCCAAGGTCTTGCAGCTAGCGCAGAGGGTGCTTAGAGTCAGACCCTCCCCCTAGGTGCAAAGAGAATGCATCTTCTGCACGGCCCAGCCCTCTGGAGGCCAGGTGTGTTTTTTTGGCTCTTGGGAGTGGTGGCAGGTGCCAAGGTGGCTGCTATTGCAAGTCCGGTGTGGAAGCACCCAGGTACACCCTTAGGTCTGAGAGGGTGGACTGAACAAGCTTGGCGGGAATGGTCTCTCGCTGTAGCTGCTGGTAGGCTGCATAGCGGTGGCAGCCCCCAAAGGAGTAGAAATAGTCCCCACCCTGAGCCCCTTTGATCCAGAGAACGTCGATGGGAGGTACGCTGTCTGGGTCCTCCTGGAGAGAAGAAAGCACAGGGTGAGTGCACATAGAATAATGCTTGACAGTTTGTAAAGCAGACTTCGTTAGCCTGTGTTGAACTCCTCCAGGGTGTGCACACAGGCTCACGCTGGCTTGTGAGAGACACTGTTAAATATTCAGGGTTTTTGTGAGTTGGCTGACATCACCTTGGTAGCCTGGAAATCAGCCATGTCGAGAGTATTTACAGTGGAGAAAAGAGAAGAGGCTACATATTGGAGCTTTCCCCCCCTAGACACCAGGTTGTTAAACATTTATCAATATACCATATGCATATATATCTGGCACTGTTCTAGACTCTGGGAATAAGGTACAGCTGGAATGAGACATAGCCCCTGCCTTTCTTGGGCTTTAGTCTAGTGGGGCAGATGGAAGAAGTGAGTGTTAGAGTGATAAATGCCAAAAAGACAATAACACAGGTTGACCTGACAGGGATGGGGCTCCACAAGGCCTCTCTGAAGTGACAGTGGAGCAGAGACCTGAACACAGAGAAGTCCACTTGGGAAGAGAGAGGCGTAGAATAGTTTAGAGTAAGAACCTGACTGTCAGGTTCAAATCTCAGCTCTGCTACTTAACTACTATGTGACCTTAGGCAATTAATCTCTTTGTGCCTCAGATGCCCCATCTATCAAATGGGAATGAAGAAAACATACCCACCTCATAGAGCTGTTGGGTTACATAAGTTAATATATGTAAAGCACTTCGACTGCTTGGCACATGGAAAGCACTCAATAATAAATGCTGTGAATTACCTGATGAAGAGCATTCAGGCAGAGGGAACAGCATATGCAAAAGGCCTGAGGCCAGAACAAGTTCACTGTATTGGAGGCATGGCAAGGTCAGTGTAATCAGAGTGGACTCAAGGCGGGTGGAGGAATAAGAGAGGTCAGAAAGGTCAGAAAGGTTAGCAGAAGCCATACGGTGCAGGTTTGTTTCTCAGAGCAGTGGGTAGGCCCTGGGGCATTTCAAACGGGGGGGG